TGCTGCTGGTATGGGGCCAGGTGTCAGCCCGCTGCAGACCGGGACAGGGCAGCGAGAGGGACCAGTGCCGCAGCTGGCATTCTGGGGGTCCCGTGGCGCGTGGGGTCCCGGCAGCCATGCACCCAAAGCGCCCGGGCAGTGCTGTCCGGGCAGGGTGATGGTGGGGACCTGGCATCCTATCCACGCCAGTGAGCGAGGCATGCAGATGCGGAGCTTAGGGCGCGTTGGGTGCCAGGAGAGCTGGAGGAGGCAGCCTCCCAATGTCATGGATGGGTTTTGTCTCCAACTCCTGGTCTTGTTTTTCCGTCGCTCTCCACCGCCACTCCAGGAGCTGTGTGTTGTTAAATGGACGCTCTCTTGCTTTCTCCATCCTCCTGGCACCTGGCAGACAAGGTTCTGATGGAGCTGATCGAGCCGTATGAGCTGCGAGCGGCAAAGCTGCGTGAGTTCCTGGAGGACGTGAAGCCCTCACTGCATTACGACATCGTGCCTCTGGTCGACCCCTACGGCCCCTCGGTCACAGACCCCGATCTGCAGTGCTTGGTGGTCAGCGAGGAGACCCGCAGGGGAGGGGAGGCCGTGAACAAGAAGAGACTTGAAAACGTAATGCCTGCGCAGGAGCCTGGTGGGCTGCCCCTTCCTGCCCTCTTGCCCCTGCCTGCCACTGGCTGTGGGCTGGTGAGCAGCCGCGGCTGTTCGGTGCCCCAGCGTGCCACGGCCCGGGCTTAAGGGCAGGATGCCAGTGCACGTGTCTGTCAGCATCCTGCAGATGGGTGCTGAGTGCCGAGCTGCCCCCGGCTGCGTGCGCCCCACGGGTGGTGCAGCAGCCTCTGCACACAGCACAACCCCGGGCAGCGCTGCCAGCCCCACACGTGTGGAGGGTTGGGGTCAGACAAGCAGCTCTGTGGGCTCCCTTCCCCTCTCGGCTGCCAGGAATGTGTCCCTCCTGGGGATGGAGCTGCCCTGTGGGGATGCTGGGGGAGGCTGCGGCCTCGTTCGTGCTGGCCTTGACCTCCCGCTGAGACCCCTTCCCTCCACTGCGTCCCCACAGCTGCCGGGACTGACAGCTCTCAGGGGTCTCTTCTCTTTGCAGGGGCTCCCCGAGCTGTCTCTCTATGAGATCCTTTTGATGAAGGACCCTGACCACAGTCAGAACGAGGAAGAGAAGATCAGCTCCTCCAGCCTCCGGCAGAGGCTGCTGGGGACGCTGCTGCAGCCCCCACGGGTGAGGGGTTGCTTGGAAGAGCCGCCGGCTGTGATGGGAACAGTGTGCTGGGGAGAGGGGTGGCAGCCTCAGGAGCTGGAGAGCCAGCTCGTCACCCTGCTGTGGGGGGACAAGTTTCAGAGGATTGCCTGCCTGCTGCCTGTACTGGCCCCCGGCAGGATCAGGCCCCTGCTCTGCTGGGCCAGGACCTGTCATGCCCGTCTCCAGGCCAGGTGGTCAGGGTCCTTCTCCAGCAGTGCCCACATCCTCTGTCTGCTGGCAATGGCTTTCCTTCTTCCCTTAGCAAGACCCTGCCTTGCCTTCGCGCCCGTACGTGATCGGCCTGACTGGAGGAACCGGGAGTGGGAAAACCTCCATTGCCAAACTCCTGGGGCACCTGGGAGCGTTCCTTATCGACGCAGACAAGCTGGGCCACACCGTCTATGTCCCTGGTGGCCCTGCCTACGGGCCGGTTGTGGCAGCCTTTGGGGCAGGTAGAGCCACCGAAGGCTGTGGGGAAGACTGGGAGGAGGAAGAGGAGGGAGGCATGTGCCATTATCCTAACGTCCCAGGGAGCTCTCCTGGCCTGCACTCCCTTCCCCCACCATGGGTTTTGGGCTCCACACCACCCAGATGGGACTCTTTGGTTGGGCCTGAGCAAGGCAAACCACTGCTTTCCCAAAGTCTTGCGTGTCCCATGTCAGAGCTACTGTAAACTGGCTGCTGTGGAAGGCTAAACCAGGCTGCTGTTTGTCTAGGAAAAGCTCTTCCCTGTCCTTTTCTGGAGTAAGGTGATGAGCTGCCAGGTCAAGTTTTATAGCTCCTTTCTGGGTCCTTTTGAGAGCCCCGTGCAGAAATCCTTCCACTTTGACCTAGGCTTGCCGCAGGGAAGTGAGTTGGATTCATTCCTCCCAAGCCTGTTCTGCTTCTGTCTTGCAGAAATCTTGAATGAAGATGGGACAATTAACAGGAAAGTCCTTGGGGCCAAAGTGTTTGGAAACCAGGTAAGAGTGGCACAGAGACTGTCAATATTTAATCTCATGAGCAGGGAGCTTTCCATCTGTGCTGAGGCTTTTTATTTTTCAGCCTTTTGAGCTGATGATGCCTTCCTGACTGTACTTGCTGGCAGTGACGTACAGACAGGGCAGGACATACAGATCCTGTCTCTGTAGTCAAGTCAGCAGCGTGCTGGACATGCTCCTTTTGCCCTGGCAGCTGCTGCTCTTCCCTGTCCCCATCCCTGTCCTCTCTGTCGCACACTTGTCCTTCACCCAGCATGGAGCAACAGTCCTGACATACGTGGAGCCGGTGCTCTCTGACCCTGGCGAGGTTTGGGCTTGTGCTCAGTGGGGCTTGGTGATGTGGCAGCCGAGCCTGACCCTCTGTGCCTGGCTTTGTTGGCTGGGCCAGTGCTCAGCCTTTCGCTCAGGTCCTGCGGGCTGCTCCAGCCCAAGCGTGAACGCAGCTTGAGGGGTTCCCCTGAGAAGGATGGGTCTTACCTGGGTGCTGCTGCATGGGGAGCTCGCTGTGCTGTGGGGCAGGTCTTTGCAAAGGAGCTCTCACAGCAGAAACCAAGATTCTGCTGTGCCTGGCAGGGCAAGTAAAAAAATAGGAAAAAGAACCTTGACCCCATCAGCGGGCCAAGGGGTCATGGACCCCATCCACGCCTCTGGCCAGCGTGGAAGCTTTCCTTCCTTGCGCTTAGTGAGCAGGCCATGGGCCAGGTCTGTCCCTGTGCTTTAGCAGGTTCTTTCTGGGTGCCCTCTGTGACCGCTGCTGCCACCAGTGATCCCCTTGTTGGCTGCCCAGGGGTTCTGAGGCCAAGTAACCAAATCCTGTTGTGGTCCTTTCTAGGAGCAGCTGAAGAGTCTCACGGACATTGTGTGGCCTGAGATAGCTCAGATGGTCAAGGAGCAGATTGGGGAGGCAGATGCTCAAGGTAACTGGGGCGGCTCCCATCACAGCACAAAGGTGGGAGTTGGGTGCATGGTTTTGCACAGCACACCATGACTCAGAGCCCCCAGGAATCTGCAGCTTTTGGCAGCACTGTGGGTATTTTCCATGCTCAGACCCGCCTCTTCTCTGCTGGGCAGCTTGCTGGGGATTTTCACCAGTGCATCTCTGAGCAAACCCCTTCACTCAGCTGGGCTGGCAACTGGGACAGGCTTTACCTCAAGCTTCCTACACTGAAGGAGGGTGGAGGTTGCTTTCTGTTTCCCATGTGACTTCAAGTTTGGTTTTGGTGTAGTGCTCCAGCAGTGAGTGTGGTGTGTATTCCTTCTGGGGGCAGAATTTTTCCAGCTCTTGGGAGATGCTGTGGTAGTTCAATAGGCATTCGGCTGAAGGCATTGGCTTGCCGTGCCTGGGAGACCTGCCATCCCGGGTGCGCCCTTTCAGCAAACACTGCCTGCTGTTGTCTTTTCCACGTGAGGTTCTTTGGCTCAGCAGTAAAGTGTCTGTGCTGCCAGTTTGCAGGAAAATGTGACTATGAGTGTAAGCGGACTGGCTGAGTTGGACTGCAAGGAGTAGTCGTGCTGCCTTGCAATTACCAGGTAATGAGAAATGGCCTTGTCCCATAGGAAAGGCCGTGTGCGTGCTGGATGCTGCCGTGCTGCTGGAGGCTGGCTGGCAAGACATGGTCCATGAAGTGTGGACGGCCATCATCCCGGAGGAGGAGGTGGGTGATGTCCCTTGGCCTGTTGCTTGCTGCTGGGGCTGGTTCTCAGCTTCCCCTCCGAGCGCCTGAGTGTCCCCTCTGATCCTGCCAGGCTGTGAAGCGCATCATGGCCAGGGACGGGCTGAGCGAGGAGGCTGCTCGCAGCCGGCTGCAGAGCCAGATGACCAACAGCCAAAGGGTGGAGCAGTCGCAGGTGGTGCTGTGCACGCTCTGGGAGCCGGACATCACCCGCAAGCAGGTGAGCCTCGGGCTGGCTGCAGCACTGAGGTCTGTCTCAGGTGGCAGAGGGGCAGGTGGGTGACTGTGACAGGGACTGGAGGGCTCAGTGCTGTGCCTGGGTATGCTGCTCACCATTGAGGGTGCCTCTGGGCATGGCCACGAGGGGTGAGTTTGGGGATGTAAATGCAACAGGGAAGGGATGGGACGGGATGTGTGGGACCCTTGTGTGACGCTCCTGCCCCTTCCCGTGCTGTAGTGCCCCTCGCCTTGTCCCTGGCTTGGCCACCCCATGTGGGTTCTCTGGCAGGTGGAGAAGGCCTGGGACCTCCTGCAGCAGCGCCTGAGCCAGGACCGCAGCCTGTGAGGGGGTAGCGCTCCTCTCGACCGTCACGTGCCAACCCCGTGGATCCCACACCGGCGGGATGGGAGGCGAGGGTCCATGTCCTGGCATCACGTGCTGTCAGTGAGCCAGCCCGGGAGGAGTGCGGCGTGGGGGCGGAACCCCCCCGCCACGTGCAGCCCCGCGGAGGGGCCGGGGGCGTCCGGCCGTCCCCTGGTGGGGGAGGACACTGCAGCGGCTCCTCGGGCCAAAGGGCTGAGCCTGTGCTGAGGCCTGGACCGCCCCGTATGACAGTAAAGAGGCTTCTCCCTCTGTGCGGGTCCGTGTGCTGTCCATTTCCCTCCCG